AAACTAAACAAAATAATAACTTTGAGACAAAGTTGTATTTCATCAGCATTGCTGAAAATATTATGAAATCGTAAAATTATTCCATTTAATACCCTCATGAGAGATGAATTCACAGAAAGTTATGGCTTTTCAGTTCAGTTTTAATAGGTGAAACCTACAAAATGTGGACACATTTAGAAATCAATTAAGTTTATTTTTATTTACATTTTTTTCTTATCTTGGAGAAGCAGAAATGAAAGGATACAGAACAACAATAACAATTAAAAAAGCTAACTTGATGTTGTCAGTTTAAGTTAAAATATGCCTGATATTTTATAATCATGGTTATAGGAAGGTAAATAACATGTTAGCCAAAGCCTGTACCTTAACATAGCAAGGCACGTATTTTGCTTTTAGCTGATGTGATTAATCTGTCTTTTCCTAGCATTGTTAAATTGTAACTATTGATTTATTTATTTTTAACATATACTCTTTATACTGAAAAATCTGAAAGTTTGCTGTGTTGATATTTAAAGTCCTCTCACAGCAACAATCAACTCTAAACTAGTCACTCATTCAGTCTGACCTGTTCTGTAACCCCTCAAAAATTCTGCTAAAAATCAAAAAGGAGGAGAGAGGGGGAACCAGGACAACAAGCCTTTTTGGTATTCTTCGAAGCATCAAATTCAGAAGGCATAAAGTGAAATAAATTCCACAGTTAATAATACTCATTGAAGAAATCCTGCTAAATCACCACCAGTGTCCAGACCCCCGTCTTCACTGCTCTTGTGAGTCTGAATGCCTGGTATGATGGTGATTATCATGATATAACACTGCAACAATGGTATGCAACCTGACAACCTCAGAGGTTAACTATGTCTACTACATTACTGGACATACTGATCTTAAATGTGCAATGTGCACATTAAATGTGAAATATATATATATATATATATATATATGAAAATGTTAAGTAAAAGAGGGAGAAAAATGAGCTAGTGCAAATCCAGTCGAGGATTTTGTGGAACTTATACAACATCTCTAGCAGAAGTTATACAGAAATGTATTTATGTTACACACCAAAATTTCCATTAACTGGATATTTAACATCTACTGTGAAACTCAGATTTGGGCTGAACTAAGCAGAGGGAGGCTGAATGGAGCTAAGCTGAGGGAAGCTGTCCTTAGGTGAATCACTGACTCTGCTCTTTAGCAGAAAGCAAACATAAAGGAAAAGGTCAGCTGAACAAGGTGAAGGGTGAACAAAAAATCTTATAAACTGTAGGTCATCTAAACATCTGGTATCTGTTTGGTTTGTTACCTTGTTCATAGTAACAGCAATCAGAGTAAGCATTCTTGCAGGAATGTGCCATTGGGTTTCTTGCAACCTAAGGCAATGTGAGACTTTCAGGTGGAGTCCGGTGTAGCAAACTAGCTAGCAGTTAGTTTTTTTAAGGAAAGGGGTAGGAGAGGATACTGAGGGACTAGAAACCATAGGCAAGTACAGTACAGAAGAAAGATTCAACAAGGGTTAACAGAGCAAAGATAAAAGATCTGAAGATATTTAGTCTTCTATTTAGACATTATATTGCTAATCAGAGTATACTGAGCACGTATGCCTTTGCACATCAAATATTTAATCTTAAAGTTGTGTCCTATAATGTTAACTTTGTATCCTGTGTCTTTGACGCCCATGTCGTGCCTAATGACTTGTCAGACAAAAAAGAAACAAGTCAGGAAAAAATGTTCTTGGTGAATAATTGTTTCATCAACTGATAACTACTATGAAATACATAAATGCAGCTAACAAACTCACTGCCTTTTCCACCAGCTTCTCACTCTATTCGCTATTTCTCCCAAAAGTTTTAGCACAGTATAGATAAAATACATTGCTTCCCATTAATAGCTATTTATTCTATTTGTGGAACATTTCATATGCAGCAAGCTGTGTTGAAATCTAAGATTTGAGAAAGTCATTTAAAAATATCTAGCCAAATTAATATATATAAATCATATTATATAGGGACTCCAAAATATCTGACTTCAGAAAGAGTTGAAAAGCCTGTACTGTGAATGAAAACAAGCTAAAGGTTGAGAAAGGCAATCTGGAAGTAAGACTAATAAGAACTCTATACTTTTCTACAGATTAAAACTTGCATAAAACAAACAAATAGAAATAAAGACATAAACTATAAATAGATGAACCTGAGACATAGAAAAAGAGAGAGAGAAATCAGTGAATGTACCACATATAATTCCATTTATTATTTATTTTTGAGGTGTTTGATGCTTGATTCTGGAGTGCACAAGGAAGAGACAAGCATTTCTGTTTCCATTTCTTTCTTCCCTTTGGTTTTGATCAAAAGTAACTTCACAGAATGTAAAAGCTCTGCCACTAGAATATGTGTATGTGTGTAGAAATGTCTATAGGCAGATGGCTCTGGTAACTGCTTTCTCTTGACTGTAGAGTTTAAATAAATGTTACAAACATTTGGAATTACCACTGCATTTTGAATTTCCCTTTTCTGAACATCAGTGTTCTCATATCCTCGGTCTCTGTTTTAACGTGTAGAAATATGATTGAAGATTACTTCTGGATTAGCTAAGCCAAGGAAAATTTTGTGCTCCTAACTTGATAGGATCAGTAGTCAAACCATAATAGTGTATATATATGTGTATATATATGTATACTACATATATATATTATAGTATACTATAGTAGCTTTTAACATCAGCCCTTTTCTTTATACAGAATAGACTTCATGGTAGATTTCGTCTATGTGCATACTGGTATTTCTGTCCTATTTCAACTAGAATAAGCAACAGGGGTAATTTTACCTTTAAATGTACAGTACATTATAGTTGTTTATTTTTGCATTTGATTTCCCCGAAAGAAGAAAAGTCCAAAGACCATTTAGCTTTCTATACCATACAAAAATAAATTGAATGTATTTTTTAGAGATCTAGATATCCATTAGCAGACACTGAAAGAATGGGCTTAGCTGTCAGTTTTTTTTCCAGAAGATGAGTATGAAACATTATGAGATATTACTATAATAAATGCTTTTAATAGATCTTCATTACAAAAATATTATTGAGAAATTTATAAGCATAATAATAATAGGCTATGTAAGTCTACATGGATTGAGGTATTAAAGACAAAATGCTTCTGCTTCTTGATTCTCTTTGGCAGTCAGAGACCACAGGACCAAGTAGCACCATAAATAACATCTGACTTTTCCATAATTCTCAATTTCAATAAAAATATTGACTTTGTGGAATACCATTTCTTTTGGTGTCAATATTATCAGGAAGGAATAATTAACTGTAGTGCTGATGAACACAATCACCAATGATGGAAAGAATATAGCCAAATAGTACCCTCTGTTTCCAAGACAAAAAGAGTGGGAACTTATACCTAGACCAAACTATACATGAAATAATATGTCTGAAATAATTAAGTGTTGTAAAAACAATGATAAAATACTTTGTGTATCAGTAAGTCCAGGTTCCATGGAAATAACCGATAACAAAGTTACAAATGTTAAATGTTAGTATTCACGTGAAAATCACTTCAGATTTAAATAATAAGATAAAAAACAGATTAAATTTGAGGGCCTAATCTGTTAAATCTGTTAAAAAACAGATTAAATTTGGGATAATGTTTTGTTTCAAAACATTATCAGTTTTGAAAATTCCAACAGCAAAAGGCAGAGGAAAAAATATATTCCAGTAAGCATACATTCCCAAGATTCACTTACACTTTGTTATAAAGTGATAATTCACTTAGAATGGAAACAAAACCCATTCCTGTAAAATAATGGTTACAAGTACAGCATAAAGCAGTATGTGTGAAAGTACAAAGAAGCATAGTAATTGTAATATTTTCACTCTGAGGACGTGACTCCTTGTTAAAACAGAATGTCAAATACAAAAAAAAAAAAATCTTATTGGAAAGGTTTTAAATGACACTAATGACACTATTAAATGAAGAAACAAAAGGGGGAAAACATCCCTTCATACGAACCACATTACTGCTGAGGTGTTCACAATTTTGTCCCCAGTACGAGTCCACAAAGTCCTCCAAAAACTTAGGATGAGCCTTGGAGGTAACAAGTATAATAAAACAAAATATTTGGTCCACTCAATTTATTCATGCAGGCCTGTTAATTGCTTTCAGAGACTGTGTTGATCAGACTTGTCTAAGATAGGGAGGAAGGTAACAACATACAACTCAACACACGCTTGATGACTTACCTCATATGACTCTCTGTAAGTTTGCTGTTAGCAGATTAACAGTTTCTTCTAAGTTTTCAGCCATAGATATAAAATTTATTTGAAGCCTGTTTAATAGATAATGTCATAAAGAAAATCATGATATTTTCTTTTTGTTTTAAAGAAAATTTCTTAGAAGTTCAATGGAGTCATTGCATGTAAAATGTGATGTTACATACCTCTTATTTTCCTAGTAAAAGTAAATAAAATCTTAAAATTATAAATGTAATAAAAAAAAATAATGGAAAAAAAAAAGTTAGACTTCTCAGAATGTAGCATACAGATTTATAACTATTATTCATTCTTCATTTTCTTTTCCTGGACCTTTACTTAAGATAAATCTATCCAAGTATTAGTATAGTTGTAGATGTCTTATTAGCTATATAAATGGAAAATACAGATTAATTAAAGCTATTGGAAATTAACGACAATTATAAACCCTCTATGGAAGCTAAAAGGGAGAATCTATATTATAATACATAAATAAATAACCCTTTTTGCTTTGACTTTCCTGTATGCAGAATGCTTGAAATTCTTCACACAGTTGTTGTGAAGATCTATCATACAGGTTTTATGCTAACTATTTGTAATGTTTAATAAACACTTTGAATTTTTACAGATATGAAATAGTTAATGCCCCTGATTCAGTTTGACTGTAAAAATAGAAGCAAAATGGAACAAAAAACATCTACTTGTCTTTGTTATTGTAGAAATTAATTTTCAAAGACTTATATAAGAAATCGAGGATGCAGTGGTCACTTGTTTATCCTTGGACTTTATACTTAAGGCTTTCCTTATATGGTTTTGGAAAATTCCTCCTCATCCATGTCCATCATTCCATGCATCAGTTTAATCACATGTATGTCACACATTATTAAAGGTACAAAGAAAATAGTTGGAAGAATTCAGAGTGGGGGAGAAGAAAAACAAAATGAAAACCAAAACCAATCTGTTGAAAGTTCCAAAATATTTGTGTGTATTTTAATGTTCTCTTCTATTATTAGCCAAATGATTCCTTGGGATTACTCAAACATTTAAGTGCTTTGTTGATTTCAAGGTTTACTAAAGACTTCTCTGAGCTTTTGGTAAATAGAAAATAACTAAAAAAGCCCAAATCCTTTTACACTTGACTATTATAAACCACTTGGAGGCATATTGTCATCCTGAAATAATTGCATTAGGAAATTAGAGTTTCTGAGTTTCACTCAGAGCTGTTATAGTTCTCAAGACTCTTCTCACTCAATACTGTACAGAATTACATCTGTCTGTATGGGTAGTCTTCCACAAGATTTCTTCTGACTTCATCTTCCTCTGATTTCAACTGTTAACATTCAATTACTACTTAAAAGGTTGATTGAAGAAATTGATCTAATGTGACCTTTACTGTAGTTATCCAACAGGTTCACAAAGGGAAAGTAAAAAATAACAATATTCTCATCTTTGGAGAAAGACAAAATAACATGATTAGACAAATAGAAAATTAAGGTCAATGTAACAACTGTTGTAAATATTAGAATAAAAAATGTTAGAAAAAAAGTCCCTCAAAAAAATAATCAGTTACAAAATTTCTAACATTAGCAAAGTGAGAACTTATCAATAGAACTAATTTGCTATAACTTCATAAAAATAATAATTCATATGAATATAAATAATAACATAAATAATAGTTCACATAAAGATAAATATTTATTTTATTTGTGTATTTTTATCATAAAATATAAATGTTGCGAGACCATGACATTTTAAAGGGAACTGAATAATACACTGGCATGAATCAATAGCAGAACTATGTGTTACTTCAAAAAATACCAAAAGTTAAAGCTGTCTAAAACTAAATATTTTCTCCAAGCTTTTATTAATGAGACAATAAACCTAAAATACATATAAAAAGTTCTTTAGTCATACAAAAATGAATGTGTTTAGAAGGGGAAATTGTATATTGACAACAGAAATTCACATCCTTATAGAATCATCCTTATATTCACATCCTTACAGATTGGAAAGACATCAAAGTAGCCCAGTAACAATACTAGTCCAACAGCTAATAATTAAAATACAGGTTACAGGTTCTATTACAAAAAAAAAAAAAAAAAAAAAAAGCACACAGAAAACAACAATACCATGAGCAGATTTCAGATTAACAAGTGATTATCAGTAGTGCTGACTGAGAAAGGTATTCAAAGCAGCTTTCCAACATCATTAGTGCTTCCTGAAAGAAGATAAATCACATTTATTTTATGACAATGACCTAATAATTAAGCAGATGAATTAAGTAGATGAATTATCAAACAAGGTTCTAAATGTTATTTTTGAAGTTATAGCTTTCCAAATTGAATTCATTACACTTTCCTTTATATCTTTCACAGAAACCATTGAGGGAACAAGTTATCAATTGGAAGAAATATAGAAATTACCAGAAGCACTTTGCTTACTTTCTAGCTGTTCTCTGAGCAGTGCACTAGAATTTGTTCTGGATCAGTTACATGCTATGAAAATGAGTCGCCTAAACAGTCATCTATAAAATCATCCTACATAGTTTAAATTTATGAGATCTCTTATGGACAATAGAATTTGAATTTTCCATTTACTTGTTTGTTGGTACTACTAAAGAGAATTCTCAGTTCTTTATATTGTTGTTGAATGGAATAGAAGAAAGAATAAATTAATAGGGTGAAATTGTTAAGAAAATTAAAACATTTATACTGTACATTTATGCTATACTGTGTATATCAGGAATGTTTCAGGGCAACAGAAACAAAATATCAAAAATCTTAGATCAGGAAAAGAAAGAAAGTAAAAGAAGCAGAAATTTTAGGGAAAAAAAAAAAAAAAAACACAAAAAAAACAAAGCAGATTGACATTTAATATTTTTCTTGTGTCAGGAAATAGAAGTGTACTGTGAAACTCATTGTCTGATGATATGTTTTGTAAGAAATATGCATTGTTGAGTCCTAAATGAAAACATATTGTCCATTTTTCAGACCTTATTTGGCTTTGCCTGAGACCACACTGATAAAAGTTTTCAAGCTGATTCTTTGTTCACCAGGTCAAGAGTCGACATCAATGTATTTTGACTCTGGGAATTTTAAATTGGATACTGCACTTGTAGAACCCAGAGATGGATTGGTATTCACGTAAGAATTATTTTAAAACATTTAAACTAATTGCTGTTTTTGCTAGTCCTGATTAAAGGTATGATAGATGGGAGTTTTTGTATGTGTTTGACTACCAAAAAAAAAAAAAAGTTGGAATAAAACTGTAAAGTACATTGCAAAATTTCCTTGTTCCTTCATTTCTCTCCCTCTTTCTCCTTTCTTAAATTTCCAGTTAATTTTGAGTTAGTATTTTTATTTGTTTGTTTGTATTTTTTGTTTTGTTTTTACCCAACAGTTTCAAGTTCCTGGCCTCACTTCAGCAAACAGTATTGGTCACTGAAAAAGTGAGAAAACTTGGGAACACTGGTCTCTCTCCCTCTCTCTCTCTCTCTCTCTATGTATATATATGTATATATTTGTCAAATCAGGTGCAACTGAGCCTACATTTTCACACTGCAGCTTCAATTATTGTGACAAACAACGTGACTGCATTGAAACAAAACAAAATAAAACAAAACAAAAACAAAAAGAGCAAGCTATATATATTTTGGGAGCTTGTAGTACCCTTGCATCTCTTTCAGGAAAAAAACATTCTGTTTAACTTTGTCATTATGCACACCTAAGATTTAACCAGCTTTCAAAGAACTGTGTCATATCTTTACCCCAAGCCAACCAAATCAAGTTTAAACCTGTCCATTTCTTTTTGAACTTTGACCAACGCCCTATCTTACTTTGTGCTTGTGCCTGACTGTGGGCCTGATTTTGAAAATAAAAGAGTCTCAGGCAAGCTGTTTCTATATTACTTAAACAAGTAGAGTTCAAACATGAACCAGGCTTTCACTATATCCAAAACAGTTTTTCTGCATTGGAGAGTTGTTTATAGCACAAGCTGAGAATGTAAATGAGAAGGGAAATTGGTCTCAGTCATGAATTCGAGTCTGGATCCCAGGCCTCTCTTTCTTTCATTTTGTGCCTTTTATTTTAAATATTGGACAAATAGAAACAGTGAGAAAAATCAGAAACATTATGCAGCAAGTACCAGAACTGGACTGCAGCTTCTGCTGTACAATGAAACTAAATAATAGTGCAGCAATCTTGTGCCCTACAAATATTAGAATGAAAATACAAATGCTTTACCACACAATCTTGTTTAGGATGTAAAAGCAAAACTGAAGTACATGAAAATATTTGTCAAAGTCTTCGAATTTAGGAAGATCAGAAAGACAGTAATATTGAGAATGTGATGAAGCACATTATTTTGCCAAGTTCTGATTACAGAAAGAAAGAAAAAACATATTAAAGAATAAATTTCATCTTGTAGGGTCAAAAGTCAGGCTACTCTCCAGCTCTCTATTAGTTCAGTCTTGAAAAGATTTTATGTGTCAATTTTATTCTTTTTGTCCCCCACCCCCCACCCCCACTCCCTTCCGAAGAGGAAAAGCAAGTCATTGTGTTAAAAAATAATGGATCAAAGGAATGTCTAATGTCTTCCACAGGGGTCAAGGGTTTGTACTGTAGTGACATCACAGAATCACAGAATCACAGAATTTCTAGGTTGGAAGAGACCTCAAGATCATCGAGTCCAACCTCTAACCTAACACTAACAGTCCCCACTAAACCATATCCCTAAGCTCTACATCTAAACGTCTTTTGAAGACTTCCAGGGATGGTGACTCCACCACCTCCCTGGGCAGCCTGTTCCAGTGCCTAACAACCCTTTCAGTAAAGAAGTTCATAATAAAGAACAATGAGGTTGTATGTGTCTTCTTATCTCTCATTTATGAATCCTTCTAGCCCTCAAATATGGGATATTAGGGAAACTACCATTCTGCATTATCGTCACCTAAATAGACTGTGCTGAAAACAATATAGTCAGAGGAATCTTGGCAAAACTATTTTCATCACTGGCTGAAAAACAAACAAGCAAACAAAAAAACCACAATCCACTATAAAGAACATTAGAACCTTATACATTATATAGAGAACATTCCTGTATACAACCTACTGACTTTGTGTTCACTACCTAGAAATTAAATATATTATAAAATATAATAAAGCCAATATTATTTTGTTATGCATTAGTGTTTGCTATACATAATTAACTTTTGAAAAGAAAGTCATTCAATTTTCTTTCTCATTGTTTCTTATAACAAATATTTCTGATGTCACTTTCACATGAATACATTCAGTTCAAGAAAAACTGAAGATAAATGTGGTTCCTCCCTTTCTGCCAGCTTAGGCATACAAACTCGTGTTGATTTGTTGGTTTTGTTGTTTATTTTTGTTTGTTTGTTTAGTTTGAGCTATGACATACCCATAAGAAAATTTTTATTCTTATGCAGATCTACATTAACAGCATTACCTGTGTTCTGAATAACTCCTGACTAGTTACTGAATCTTTTCATATGCTGAGAAAATAAAGCTGAATCAACATAATTAAGGACTTACTTCTCCAAAGGAAAAAAGTCACATTAAAAGGTACAGTTGCAACATGGTAGTAGGTAACTGAAAGTACATGTATAACCCTAATAATCTTATTCTTCTGCTACAAATGATTGATTTTTTTTTTGGTCAGCTGACCTTATTATTAAATCATAATAAATACAATTCCTTAAAAAGTACCAGTAATACTGAATATAAAATAAGTTAATCTGGTTCTCCTCTTTCCCCAACTCAGAATCTTCTAGACCATTGATTGTCCTGAGGAATGTAAATAAGAGAGTATGTTTCACTTAAAAAATCACACTTAGAAATGAAGTTCATGCTGCTGGGGTCTTCAAAATTGGCAGTGTGAAAATAAAATGGCAACATACTGAAAACTACATTTTTACATTATTCTGCATTTTATCACAAATGTTCTGATGCCATTAGTATATGTTTAAGTTATTCTGCAAGAAATCATAATCAAGTACAACTGAGTGCATTAGTTGAATACAAATACAAGGACAAATATTTTCTTCCCTTAAAAAAAAAAAAAAAAAAAAAAAAAAAAAGAACAAACAAACATATAATTATAAAATAGATATTTTTAATATAGCTGAGAAAAAAAAATGTTTTTATGAACTAGTCAGTTCTTTCACTGTCTTTCAGCCACTTTAACTCAAATAAAAGTTTTATTCTAATAGCTTTTCAGTCCCGTGCCTATTCTCTGGTGATTATTTTGTTTATGATACCACAGCCTTATTTACACAATAAAGATTTTTCTCCCTTTCTTGAATCAATCCATCTTGACTGTGCAGGGAACAACTACACACCATCAGTGACACCATCTTTGTCTTGGACCTCACTGGGTGTCTTTTGGTAGTATCATGCACTTGTTCTGCAGCAAAGAGTTTAATAAGTAGCAGAATGAGGTATTTAATGTCTGTTCACCCATGCTCAGACCTTGTATTTTGAAATTACTCTGAAATGGAGACTGTACTCTCAATTAAAGGGGTTCAAATTTATTTAAATGTAGGAAGTGCAATAGAATTTGGAAACCATCAGTTGGAATCCAGTTGATTTGGCATAAAGTCAGAAAAGAATGTCACTGCAGGGATATGTCTATTTTATCAATATCCTCTTAAATCACAAAGAAGAAGAATCATTGTTCTGCCAGATCTGTCATATTATAACTAGATGTTCAAGCTACTAGAAAGAACTACTCTCTACACTCTGTTTATTCGTGGTGATTTTTCTTCCTGTTGTCATTCCTCTTTTTTTTTTTTTTTATATAATACTTGCAAGTATAAAAATAGAGGAGTAAAAAAATATTAGCAAAAGTCCAACAAATATGGGGAAAAAAAGTTGATCATCTAATAGAGAAATGAGAAAACTCAGATAGGAAAAAAATCCTAAACGTTTTAATGCCAGTATAGGTTCAAAATTCATATCTTTCTTTCATTTGAAAGTATGAAATATTTCTAGATTTTTAGTCAGACATTGAACTTGTCTGTATGTAGTATGTTTCTTAGTTGAACAGCTGGATATATTAAAAGCTTAGATACATCTCAAAATCTCAAAAGACTGAAAGGTGGCTATGCTCTTTATTTATTTTTTTTTTTCCCAATAAAATACATCTATAATTTTCATTAAAACATCTAACTGTGAAGCAGGACAGAATACAAGTTAAGTGAATCATTCTTCTAGGCATGATCATAACATTCTTAAAGAATTCAGGATAGAAATAAAATTTAAATGTCTTGAGTGGTAAAATTAGTTCAGGAAATAAAAATAAAAGACACTTTTAGTTATAGAATCTAACGGTTAAAAAAAATGTTTGAAGTTTTAAAAATGATTTTAAAGTCTCATTTTTATTTCATAACTTTTTATGAAAAAGAATGAAACTAGTAGTTTGTAAACAGTGAATGAAGTAGGAAATTTGCATCTATTTAGGTTTTGTACTCAAATAAGTTCAATAATGTAGCAGTGGTGAAATGTTCAGTTTTTGGTTTTGTAATTGTCCCATAGAAGTTCATAGGACTAGAGAACTATTTCTGCATCTTTACCAGACTTAAAGGTGTAAAAAAAATATGGTATCATATGAATATATACATTTCAGAAACATCCTCTTTTTCTTTCTTGGAAGAAAAGGAAAGGAAAGGAAAGGAAAGGAAAGGAAATGAAAGGAAAGGAAAGGAAAGGAAAGTAAAGGAAAGGAAAGGAAGGAAAGGAAAGGAAGGACGGAAAGGAAAGGAAGGAAAGGAAAGGAAAGGAAAGGAAGGAAAGGAACGTCACGGAAAGGCAAGGAACAGGCAAGGCCCTTCCCGTCCAATTCCCTTCCGCCCTTCCACGAAGAGCCCTCCCTCGCCTCTCCTCTCCTCTCCTCATCCCCCCCTCCTTCCTCTCCTCCCTCTCCTCTCCTCTCCTCCTCTCTCTCCCTCCCCCTCTCCGCTCTCCTCGCCTCTCGAGAGAGGAAGAGAAAGAAGAGAAGAGAAGAGAGAGAGGAAGAAAAGAAAAAAGAAAAGAAAAGACAAACGAAAAGAAAGAAGAAAAGAAAGAAAGAAAAGAAAGAAAGAAAAAGAAAAGACAAGAACGAAAAGAAAAAAAGAAAGAAGAAAAGAAAAGAAAAGAAAGAAGAAAAGTGATATTGTACTCTAAAAAATACCATATTTGAAAGACTCTGTGTCTTTCCTGACATTATTACATAGTTGTCTCCTTCTGTAATTTCTCTCCCTAATAATGGTTCCGATTACAGGTGCTGCAACAGTTAATGTTATTAACAAATACTGCCTCTGCAGGAGGTTTACTTCTGAGACTGAACTTTACAACCTCACAAATTTTTGATGATATTTTAAAACCTATGATGATTATCAAGATGAAATATGATGCTTATCAATAATATAATTACGCAGAGGCAAAGAACAATGAGTTTTTTATATATTTTTTTTAATTTTTATGTACTTTGACTAGTACATTAAACCATTGACTAGGTTTAATGGACATATTTCATCTTCTCTCATGAAGTAAGAGCAGGTACTACAGACTCAGATGAGTTGACCATAGGGTTCTGTCTGTGTTAATGTACAGAGCTGCCTACAGCACTTAGGATAACTGGGGAGAAGGAAAATGATGTGCTGCCCCATGACAAACGAAGCACTGTCATAGACACTGTCTCTGTCAACTTGTTAGCACAGTAGGGATATTTCACCTTTTACACTCAAGTGATTTTCAGCTGTAAATAAGGGTGTGTCTATGTGTCTGCCTCTTCCTCTTTTGCAGAGCTAACCCTGTATAGGAACTTTAAGTTACTCATTCGTGTTTAGGCTGGCACAAATATCCTTTTTGTCTTTGAGCTACCTTAAAAGCCAAATATTATCCTTGAATGCCTTATAGCAAGAAGTTGATTTAAGTTAAAACTAATGGCTTTTAACTTCATCTGCATTTTAGCTTGGCTTTATGCAGTAGTTGGGGACTCACTGATATTTCAATGATCAGATCATATGTTCTTGGACTGTGAAAATGTCTTTTGTGGTTCATGTGTTTCTGACTACTTTCAGAAGATGATTTCTATCAAGATAAAATTATGCTTTAGAATAGGTTATTTTACTCAGATATCTGAACAATTAGTTTGTATTATCAACTGAAACTAGGTACTGTTTACAGCCCATAATAGAAAATGTGATTTTTGTTCTGTAGTTATAAAAAGACAACGTTCAAAGGTATTTCAGGTACTTCCCGTGGTTCAACAGATTTCAAAACTACAGATAAATAGTTCTGGAAAGATTGTATACAGTCCATCTAGTTCCCCTTACTGTCAGCTATAAAGTTATCTTCCCTGGTACATTTATCCAGCATGTTCTTGAAGGTCTGCAGTGATCTCCCATCTTCTCAGACAGTCATTTCTGTTGCCAATGGAAGGAAGACACACACGTTCAATATGAGTGAACAGTGAACTTTCTTTAATGGATAGCTCAGTCGCCTTTTATCTAGTTTGAACATAATCAACTCATACATATTGCAGAAACTAAGCTCAGGATTGGCTAACACTTCCCGGGCTTTTCAGTCAGTTCCTCCTTCTTTTGGCTACCTGTCCCGCCTTAGGGACTTTCCCGATCGCCCAAGGGCATCGTGTCCTTGAGCCTGATTGGCTCTCAGCCAGCTGTGTACGTGCCAAGGCTCATGTGAGTTGAGTACCGTGCTTCACTAGCCCATTGTCTCCCAACAGCTCAACATCCACATGTCCTACCTCACTTAACCATTCCTCCACACATTTCAAATATAAAGAATAGGCCTTTACTATGGTTTATGTTTTTCCCAACAATCTAATCTCCCTTGTTACTGTTTGAGAACATTACTTCTCTACAAAATCAATGACAACAGATATTCCTTCTTTTTACTTTCTTGTACCTGAGAACTGTGGTGGTATGGTTTCTCCTTTTCTATCACTCACATGCCATAAATAATATACCCCATATTCTCCTTTCTATATTTACTCATAGATCATATTTTGCAAAATATTGATCATTCATTTTGCTAAAAAAATATTTAGAGAAAATGCCTAAATACTGGTCTCAGGTTTTATGAATATTTAGTAAAACATCTACCTATTATTTGAAATTTGGAAGACTAGTGTATACTTGATTTATTCCTATTTGGAAAAATGAGTAAAGAAGATTTAAAGATTGTTGACATTTTTTAAATAGACAATTATTACGTGGAGAAAAAGCAGAATTTCTGCCTTAATCTAAAAGTGCTCATTATTGTCTGTTAGAACAGCGGATAGGTGGACAGAAGAGAAAATCATAGTACCTTTTATGTTGCTGGTCACAACTAAGTTATGCTTTATTCTTCTCCATATAAAATATTGTTTGATTTGACAATAAAAGGCAACAAATTACTTGGATTATTCTTTCTTAAACCTTTTGTAGGTTTCAGCAAGGAAATGGAGCAGAGTAGGAAGAGCTCCCTGTTAGTAGTGATGTTTTTTCAATAGGAAAATTTTCTTAAGGTTGACTTCAACATCAGTTTCACACCACTCTTCAAGCATATTTTCTTTA